GAAAATTTCAAAGACAACAGGGATTCAAGTCCCAGTGTTTGATAAAAAGCCCCTTCATCATTAGGTCACCTACTGTCCATCCTTCTGCTCCAAAATAATGTTGGATTTCCCTAAGGTTCTGCAACACTGCATGTTCAAGACAGCATGTTCATCTGAAACCAACCTCCCGAAGTGAACACCCAGTCTGGAAAATATAAAGTAGTAAAATTTATCAAATCCAAGGCATGCTATGAACTGAATGGTTCAAAATGTGTATTTCTAAGAGGAGATGAGGTAGAGCCAGGTTTAAAGTCAAATCTTAAATATGGAAACAAGCAGCTCAACCCTGTGCATAATCATAATTATTGTTTATGTGCCTGTTTAGGCACATAGGTGAAAGTATGTTTTATAAAAGCTTGTACTAGGAATTTCAGGCATTTTTCTTTTCCATTGTAATTACTCGTGTAGTTGAAGTTCACTGAAGGACAGTTTGGAAGATTCCCTGTGGGAGATAATGTCCTGTAAGACAGCCAACCTGCAAAATAGGTCCTGCAAACATTCTGGGGGAATTGATAGGTTACTCTCACCTTTGATTCCAATGTTGTTTTGACTGATCTGGTTGCTTACAAGGCTGATCTTCATAAGTTAGGTCAGTCAGTCAGGATATTCGTTGATCTGGATCTCCTGTCAGCAAAGAAACTACCATGACAAACACAAGGTTAGTCTCTTTAATATCTTTATCGTTGATCTGAATGAGGGGATCGAATGCACCCTCAGTAAGTTTGCAGACGACACCAAGTTAGGTTGTGTGTGTCGATCTGCTCAAGAGTAGGAAGGCTCTGCAGGAGGATCTGGATAGGCTGGACCCATGGGCTGAGGCTAACTGTACAAAGTTCAACAAGGCCAAGTGCCAGGTCCTGCACCTGGGGCGCAATAACCCCAGGCAGAACTACAGGCTGGGAGATGAGTGGTTGGAAAACTGCCTGGCAGAGAAGGACCTGGGAGTATTGGTTGATACTCAGCTGAATATGAGCCAGCAGCGTGCTCAGGTGGCCAAGAAGGCCAAGAGCATCCTGGCTTGTACAAGAAACAGTGTGGCCAGTAGGGCTAGGGAAGTGATTGTCCCCCTGTACTCAGCTCTGGTGAGGCTGCACTTGGAGTACTGTGTTCAGTTTTGGGCTCCTCACTACAAGAGGGACATGGAGGTGCTCAAGAGAGTCCAGAGAAAGGCAACAAAGCTGGTGAGGGGTCTGGAGAACAAGTCTTATGAGAAGCAGCTGAGGGAGCTGGGGTTGTTTAGTCTGGAGAAGAGGAGGCTCTCTACAGGTACCTTGGAGGAGGCTGTAGCGAGGTGGGTGTTGGTCTATTCTCCCACGTGCCTGGTGACAGGATGAGGGGGAAAGGGCTAAAATTGCACCAGGGGAGGTTTAGGTTGGATATTAGGAAGAACTTTACTGAAGGGGTTGTTGGGCATTGGAATAGGCTGCCCAGGGAAGCGGTTTAGTCACCATCCCTGGAGGCTTATAAGACATTTAGATACAGAGCTCAGTGATACAGTTCAGTGGAGGACTTGTTAGTGTTAGTTAAGCGGTTGGACTGGGTGGTCTTGGAGGTCTCTTCCAACCTAGATGATTCTGTCATTCTGTGTGATTCTTAGTTCTGACTTGCATTAGTGATTAGTGCATCACAGATGACAAAACCCATCACTTTAGTAAGTTACTTAAAAAGTCCCAGCTTATCACTGTCTATAAAGGCAGAGTTAGAGCTGCATCACATGGAAAGAAAGAAAGTGGATCAGAAAAGGCAGATGCTTTAATAAGTTGAATAGAAGCGAAGTCTTAAGGAGTGATTCATTTTTTCTCCTGTTTGTTGCCACCTCTCACTTTTATAGGCAAAAGGATTTTTGTCCTGGATTCCAAAACCAACCCATTACTACTACATTCCTTTATATATAAAATAAAATCCATTCCTTCTAGTCATATAAGAAGTGATTTAATATTCACATAATTGCTTTGGTCTGCATTTTCATACCTGCTCATGTAGCTTTTATTTTGAAAGCATTTGTGTTATACAGTACAATGCTAAATCTCAAGCACAGTACCAACCATAAATAATGCTTTGAGCAATGGACATTGTAAAGAAAGATATATATTGAGAGAAAAAAGATGCAGACATTGTTTCTCTTCACCATTAGGCTTCAAGTGCTAAGACTTCTTGCCTTTGTAAACATAATACTCAGAAACAGCATTAAAACAACAGATGATGAGGATTATTGTTTTGGTCATTATCTGGAAGTGCAGTACGGGAGTAAAATGGGAAAGAAGGTAGGAAGAAAAGAAAGCATGCACAGACCAAGATCACCATCTAGTGACAGAACTTATACTTTGCAGAAGGTATACTTGAATAAGTTTCTGACTTGGAGAAACAAGCCATCCAATTCTTTTAGAGTAATAACCCTCTAATTTAAGGACTATGTCTTTCTTTAGGAGTAGCAAAAAATTCAGAGCAGATGATCTGGTGCAGCGAGGTACTTAATATGTTGTTTATTCTCTCTGTTTTAAAAACAAAGTAAAAATATCTTTCCTTGAATTTTAATTTCTTTGAATTTGAAAGATATCTACACTTCTATGGGTAGAATGATAAACTTACCTTGCAGAAAGGAAAAACAATTAGAAAACATCCTTTTCAGATTAAGCTTTTGCTCTTTTCTTATTGCACTACCTTTTATTCCCCTAGTCCTGGCTCCTTCCTTTTCACACATTACAAAGGTTTTTCACCCACATTCAGCAGGTCTGTCATGTCACTGTCCAGCAGACCTTCTCTAACACCATTCTTCTTTATCCCTAATCACTCAAGTTACTTAGCTTTCTGATAACAGGATTAATCATGGCTTAGAAAAATATTTACCCTAAAATTTTGGCATGCCAACCAACGGTATCTGTACCTTGTACTTCCCATCCATCTCACCTCCATGTAACTGTTTTCTGTTGTCCTACACTTAGAGTGCAAGCTTAGTGTACAACAGGGAAACAGTCCGTGAGTAAAGCCCCAGTAACAGGGCTGCACACCTCTCCCAGCTGATGGCTCTTCAAAAACTAGGCAATGGTTTATGCTGAGAAGCATGTGGACAAAAAGATTTCATTCCTATTATGTTGAAGGGTACTAGGAATTGACTAAAAGCAGGGACTACACACAGTAAGCTTTTGAAACATGCATTACCTTCAGCTGCAAAAGCACTGATGAAAGAACAAATAGTACAGGCAGAGGCATTCATTTCTTCATGTCTTTTTTTTTTTTTTTTTTTTTTTTAAACAGGACAAGGGACTTTTCACCTTATAGTTAGGCATTGTGCAAAGGCATAGCTTTATTTTTGGAATGCTTGTGGTGCTGAAATATACTACTTGTTAAATAGAAAGCTGTATTCACAGAGAAATGATTACTCTGTCTCCCCTTCTACTGATAAGATTTTAAGCTGTATTCTACAATAGTTTCATTTAGCATTTAACAATTTATAAAAAAAATACTTCTGCCAATGTTTATCACAAGTGGAATGTTAGTAATCAGTGTTGTTCTACAGCCTGTCAACACAGTTGGGCTGATACATGCCGTAATTAATTTGGACAAAAGGAACACATTTTCAAAAAATCCTCTATATATTTTAAACATATATCCTATTTTACAGGTTAACATAGGCTCTACTCACACTATACTTCTTTTCCCTAAATTTACTAGGAATACTTACAGAAAGAAGTAACAGGTTTTATTCTTGAAGAAAAGGGTAAAAAATACAATTTATACATAGCATTTCTAGCCACTATAAGAGCTCAAGTAAACATGGACAAAAATATATATACACACAAACATTCAAAATTCCATATTATATTGGCATCTACATATATAATACCTTATACAAAGCATTAATGCACAGTCCTATTCTAGTAAAATCCACCTTGGAAGGTAATTAGTTTTGGTATATAAAAAGTGAAACTATTTCTCATGTGTCAGAAAAGTGAATTTGATTCCAAAAGCTTTTTTTTTTTCTTGTTGTGAAGCAGAGCAAAGAGTAATGGCTTAACACTGCACCCCCAAAACAAAACGTCCCATAAAGCAAGAAAGTCTGTTCTTCAGGAGAAAACACCTCTTACAAATACACCCATTTACTTGGGCCCATCACTATAAGAAGGGCATCGAGGTGCTCAAGTGTGTCCAGAGAAGGGCAACAAAGCTAGTGAGGGGCCTGGAGAACAAGTCTTAGCAGGAGCGGCTGAGGGAGCTGGGGTTGTTCAGTCTGGAGAAAAGGAGGCTCAGGGGCGACTTTATCACACTCTGTAACTACACTAAAGGAGGCTGTAGCAAGGTGGGGGTTGGTCTATTCTCCCATGTGCCTGGTGACAGGACGAGGGAGAATGGGCTAGAGTTGCACCCGGGGAAGTTTAGGTTGGATGTTAGGAAGAACTTCTTTACCAAGAGGATTGTTAGGCATTGGAATAGGCTGCCCAAGGAAGTGGTTGAGTCACCACCCCTTGAGGTCTTTAAAAGACATTTAGATGTAGAATTTAGTGATATGGTTTAGTGGAGGACTTGTTAGCGTTAGGTCAGAGGCTGGACTGTGTGATCTTGGAGGTCTCTTCCAACCTAGATGATTCTGTGAATGGAATCTGAGCACCCACTTCTGTGACTGTTTATGCAAGTGGATACGCGTAACTTAGAAGCGGTGACAAAAAAAAAAAAAGCAGACCAGTTTTTCTGTAGTTCATCCGGTTGTCATCTAGCAGTTTACTACCATTTGGGAAAAAAAAATATGAGTCAACATCATGCAAGCGTTTTTGCTTAGTTTATTTTGTCAACCTGCTGGAGCATAAAGATGCCATTTGTTCCTCTTTCTGTTACATGCATTGTGTTTTTAAGGAAGCTTAATTCACTATGAGCATATTAATTACTACTCTTAGAGATGCCATTTTGACAATTATAATGTAAACTTTGTAATGCTTTATTTTAATGTTTGCTGGTATTTTTTTTTTTCCCCACACAGACTGAAATAACTGCTTTTACAGACTCCATTACAACAGCTGATTTCTTGTGAGGAGATTAAGTGGCTAAGGAGACTGTTAAAAGGTTAAAAGGTTGCTACAGTTTAAGGTAGTGTTTCTTTTTTATTATTATTATTAGTAAGTTAATGTTGCTTTCAAGACAAGCCTTTCTTGCAGAGGGTGGTGATTCTTTTTCACTTTTCATGGTGATTCTTTAAACAGCTTAAACCTCACCCACAGCAGTGCATTTCATATGAAGGTTGATGCATAGTTTTATTATGAGTTATTTATCAGCACATGCAATAAACTATGAAAAGTTACTGAAAATATTTTAACAGAAAGTTTAATCCAATAAATGAGAGGAAGTTGTTTGACTTGTAAATTTCATATAAGGCTACTACCAAACATTTCCTATCACATACAAAAGATTAAAACTACTTAAAGACTCTTGAAATCTTAGGATAGATTTTCCATTGTGCATCTATACTAAAGTATGGAAGTGAAAACAGTGCTGAAAAAGTGTTTTACTTTAAATAACAGTCTAGCTGTTATTGCTGCTTTTCAAGGAATCTGGAAGTATATAATGAAAACAAAGCTAAATAGTTAAATAGATGTACTTCGATCATTACTGCCAATACAATGAGCAAGTTAACTACCAAAGGTTCTCAGAAAGTTTTTATTACATACATAAAGAGAACTGTACACAAATAGGGAAATAAAGTTGCTTTAAAATGGAAGATTAATGATCAAGTACAGTATTTACAGCTCAAGTGTTACCCATTAGTGTTATTTTATTTTCTTGTATTGAAGCTATTATACAAACATGTAGTATGTCCACAACTCAAAACGAGCACCTTTTTCAAAGATGTAGTCCTGTACAATTGATAAGTCAACTGGTTGCTTCTGTCACTCCTCTCCTTCACTGTTCTTGTTCTGAAACTCAAAGACAGCAATGCTTAGGTCACAATCCTTAGCTCAGGTAGCTTCAACAAGTAGAAATACAAACATTTAGTTCCAAAATGCAAACTGGCAGAATGCTTTCTATCCACAAACAGTTTATGCAGAGATAAGCTGCATCGTGCATGTTCTACTGTTTAAGTCAAACTTTATGAAAACTGGGTAGGGGGGCACTTTTTTCTTTTTCCATTGTCTAAATGGATACTAATTTTGCCTTCTTCATTTTTAAAGATTTTCATACTCACATTTCTGACCCCTCCTCATTTGCTCAGCCAAATTGGGATGGTCATAATAGTGGCTGTATTTGTGAAACTTACAGTGCAACTGTTGCAGTCCTCAGTATAGGTGTCAAATACTTCAGCCTTTTTCTAACTGTAGATAGCTATCTTAAGTGGATTCTGTAAATGTTTCTAAATTATTTGATTTCTATATACTGCCACAGTCAAAAGTTTAGTTACATAAATATGTGGCTATCCTCTGAAAACAACAAAAATATTAAGGACCTTTGAAACTGCATTATCTGTATATAAATCGAGCACATTTTAAATGAGTAGAAACCTCCAGCCAAGTTACCAAGTTATTTTAAAAAAGACTTGTGATTTTTAGCTCTGATAGCTTCAACACTATATGTTATAATGATGGATAATCTGGAAACAGATTATACAACAGTGATATTAAGTAACTTAATTAAATTTAAAAGTTAGATTTCAAATTAAAAGAAATGTCATTTTTAAAACGATCAACCATTTCCCTTCTTCACTTTGCCTTAACAGTTTCTTTCCAATTCACAAGAGAAGAAACACAAAAGGACATATTATACATTCCTTTTAACCACTGGTATTCATGAAGTAACTTCTTAAAGTCTTCCCTAGCTACAAGATGAACAACAAGAAGCATGGGAAAAAAGTATGCTCCTGAAAAAAACACTTCTCTACATCATTTACTGGACTTCAGAGTAAAATTGTACATCACTGCAGACTTGAGACATCTTGGTCATTACATTTAAACTTAATGAACAAACTTTTCAAGTATAACTCCAGGCACAAATCAGAGGAAACAGCTTGCTATCAGCACACAATCTTTCCTACTTTCAAGTATCAAATAATATGCACTCAGATTAAAGTCTACCTTCTACGATAACCTTTTTTTTTTTTTTTTAAAAAAAAAAAGTACATGCAGTTAAGTACACAGTGTCACCTAACCGAAGACTTCATTGCTATAACAGAGTACAATACTTCTCACTGAACTTATAGGCTACAAAAATTTACCTTTAATCCACTATATTTTTTCAGCTTCATTAAATTCATCTGTACACACAGAACACTACCTTTCTGAAGCAACAGCTGAGGATTTAAACAGCCATTTCCATTCTGGACTGCTCCCCTGTCTAGACATTAAAAAAGGAATTATTCAAGAGGTCTTCCACCAATATGTATTTATGCACATATGTTAAGTTCTGGTGACAATTAAAATAAAGTTATGTTCTAGCCTTGTGTGTGTGATTTTTCAAGAATTGTTGATTTGAATTTCAAATTTGAATTTTTCCAATTGCTGATCTTGGCAGCATACCTCATAATATGGTATATATGCTAGTAAAGTCAGCAATTTTTGACAAATATTGCTGGCACAAACAGCTTACACCCTGTCCTCTACCTATAACTGTTTATTTTGGCAACACGAACTTTTAAGTTAGGAGATTTAAAAGCATGATCTAAAAATGACTCAGTTGTCTCTCATGCAGACATCAGAATTTGATATACCAACTTTAAAACATACAGCTAAGCCATGACCAGTAAAGAAAACAGATTTTCATAAATCTGGATTGTTGAGTTGATTTACTTAATCTGAAATGAAGAATATCTTCATAAGCCAATTATACTTAAGAATGTTTATTTCTTCTAGGTAACGCAATCAGTTATGAGAAAGGAGTTATGAGAACGAGCCAAGATTTACTTCACCTACTTAAGTGCCTCATCATTAATTTCATCTGCCAAGCTATGAGTCACACGAATAAAAGACTTCATAGCAGTAGCTGGCAAGCTGATATGAACATTTCTATCATGATGGCTTTATGGAAGAACTGAGACTGTTTCATGTTAGCTGTTACTTTTAGGTATATCAGACTCCAACCTCTTGTGAAAGCTGGAGGAACATGCTATTTCTTTTCAACTACTAACATACTAAGAGACATTAAAACACTGAAGGAACAGACAAAGTGAGCACCTTTTGCATGTTTTGGCTATTTATGTCCACCAGCTACAGTAGTTCTTATTTTTCAAAAGGCTATGTACAAAACCATGTGGCTCAATATGACAATGAAAGAAAAGCATTACTAGCATCTGCTTAGTAACTGAAATACATAAAACAAAACAATGAAAACCATTCTTACAGGTATTAGAGCTTTGACTCCACCTTCCTCTCCAATGGCATTATATCTCTTTCTCCCCCAACACAATTCAAATACATATAAACTGTAACGAAAATAAATATCGGTATTCCTTCTTCAGTAGTATTTCCTTCAGAATAGTAAAAACATTGTACTTTAAAAAGAGAAAGCTCCAAGTAAAGTAATCAGGAGTATTGTCTTTGGTCCATATTGATTATTCAAAGCTGGTTAAATTATTGGTTTCTTTAAGAAACTGAAGAGCAAACCTCAAATTACACCATTAGTCGCGGTAGAGCTTATTTTCATAAACTTGTAACAACCCATAAATAAAAGAATAACTATTTGGAAGATTTTCTGAAAAAAAGATTTTTTATTATATCAGTAAGTCAGAATTGTGTGGAATGTATAAGTCTTTAACAACAGCAGCTTCTAACAAAGCAACAGAAGCATCTTTACATTGAACAGTATATCCAGTATTCGAATGCCTCCTCCAAAGAGGAAGTTGTGTCGATATATTTGTTCTCTACTATAAATTAATAATTTACAATGCACAGAATGTGCTTAGTGATACCATGCAGAAACATGCAGAGCTATTTAAAGATAGCTCTAAACGATTTTGGGTAGACATCTGCACAATGCTTTATTGTCCAAAGCAAAGCAGAGTACCATCCGTGCCATTCATGCACAAGATATTTCTGTAGCTTAGTAATGATGAAAAAAATCCTAGGTTATCCTATTTTTTTTTCTTTTTCTTGGGCAAGTTATTTCAGCTGTTACTTTCTGTAAAATACAGACTACACCTCCAAAACATAGTTAATACACATATTTATATAAATAGCATATACATGTATACACACACCATGCTTTGAGTAGAGCACCTTTTACAAGTTTAACAATACTGTTCCTAAGGACGTGGAATGAAGCCTCCAAGTTTCAGAGATGTAAGGCCACTTGTATGTTTCCTCTACTGGAATTACTATTCATTAAGTTCATGCCATGATCAAGGAACATTTCATAGATGAACTAGACATCCTCATTTATCCCTCACAAGAAGCATTTAAAAACTTCATCTGTTACACCAGCTAGGCACTACATTTACTGCCTATTCATTGTTGCTAGACAACATCATATAAAGCAGAGACAAATAAGCACCTAACCACTTTAAATGCGATTACAGTGATCTGTACAATAAAAATTATTTGGAGGAAGGTTATTCAACATCTGCAAAGATACCTCCTTGTCAAAGGAAGAAGGTTAGAGTGACAAAAAATTCATTGGCACTACAACTAAAATGACGAATGAAGTTTTATTAGTTACATAAATTTCCTAAGTTAGCAGTGGTCTCATAAGAGTTTAAGTTAGTGAAACAAAGCAAGCCTTTGAACAGTGATAGTGTAAGAAAACCCATATAATAAGAATTGAGATGTTCAAGGTAATTTGGAGACAGGAAACAAGATTCAGGGTGAAGTAAAGACACGAGACATTTAAAATTACTGAATGCAATGCTTTGTGAGAGGGTTGTTTTTGATTCAGACAAGCATTTCTAAGTTGTCAAACACAAACACTTTAAAGTCTGTTGGATGAGACATATCAAATAACCAAGCTGATTTAGAATACCTAAAAAAAAACACAATGAAGAGAGCAACTTTTAAAAATCTTCTCCCCTAAAAATATACTTTACAAGGCACATTAGGAGAAATATCATTGATTTTATTATTCCATTTGAATTAAATACCTGAAACCAGTTCTCATATCGTAAGACAATGGGGAGAAGTTTAAAATGCATTTTGACAGATGCAATAACTTTAATAGACAAAGTGCTATGACTTATGCCAAAAAGAATCAGCAGAAAGTAAAAAAAATAATAAAATAATAATAATAAAAATAATCAAGCCATGAAAAATAAGTTTTGAAATCAAAGTAAGGAAAATATAGGTATTCCACAGCATTTTAAAGTGACTCAAAGCTAAAAGTGTAACACTGAGGTTTATAAACCTACATTTTACATTGTTCCCTTCATAGCCTGCAACTTTGTACATTTTGAAAAAAACTAAAATACTTCCAAAGAAAAAATATTAGCATCCTTAGTGCTTTTAAAAAAACCAAAAGAATGGTTTTTAATGGAAGAAAATAACAGAAAGCAGGTTAATTCATTATACCGTTTTGAAGCACTAAGCAATAAAGCTGGATTGTAAGTTGTATTTTAACCCTATTATTTTCTTTTAGCTGTACAGCAGATGCCAGTGATTTCAACAACTCTGAAAGTCTTTTTGACATCTTAACAGCAAAACCTTTGGGCAATTAATTATTCTTATCATTATTGACAGTCAACTTCTAAAAAGCATTCAGTTGAGTAAGTATGTAAAAGATGTCTTATTCCTCATACAGAACTTTGTGCCCTTTAAATTTTGCTCTTCATAAATAGCATTAAAATTTCTATTCACTCCAAATGATTCACACTTAAGACATCTCACATGCACAACAGTAGTGTTCCCTTTAAACTAGAAAAGCACAAACTCTGAAAGATACGTATTTGAAAGTTCCAGGTGTCTTAACCTTTCCAAGGATATAAAATGTTCAGAAACGAAGTTGTAAATACACCAGTCCCGCCCCACTTCCAAACTTCCAAAGTAAGGTAACTTTTATTAAGCAAGCTTAACATTTTTGTTGCATTGAAGACTTGTGTTGTTTGTGTTTTTTTTTTAAACACTTTCCATTTTCATAGGTATATTCTCAAAGTCTGTATTACATTTGTCTATTCTTTAAAGAGTATGTGTAGGGTTAATAGTACTATCAGTACTTAAAAAGAGGGAGCTTACTTGCAGCAAGTAGCTTTTCTAAGGCTTTTAGAAGGGGTGGTAACCATTTCAGACAAAATAATTTAAAGGAACGCATTAGTTTAAGATTCATATGTACATACACAACAGATTATACTTTTTTCTCACACAGTCTCCTTAAACTAAGGATGCCTAAAGAACCAAAACCATGAAAAAATGATGTGCTGATCTTCAGTAAACTGACACAATTCATTCTGAGATTGTGCTAATTACATCAGGATTGGTAAAGTTGTAGTTCTTAAATCCCACCAATATTTGTCTACCACTGAAATTGGACCTAACTGTTGTTTTTAATGCTGAATAAGAGTAAAAAAAAGTCATCGTACTATTCCCCCTGAAGTTAAACAGTGTATATCCACAGCATTCTTCTATATCTACCATTTCAAAAAAAGCTCACCCAACCAACTGTTAAGAACTAAACTCCAAGTTTGGCACATACAGCAACTTTCAGGAGCGCGCATTTATTTTTATTAAAACACTGATAAGAACAATGATCCTATCACCAAGCATTAGCCTGACTGGCAGCTACTCAAGGTGCTTTACACAGGGATTGCACTTTTCCTATGATTGAAGCACGTAAGGCACAACGCAGAAGTACAAGAGTTCAGACACTAGAGGACAGTCTGTTCATTCGACTGAACCTCCAGATTTGTAGTGCATGTTCCACATCGCTTCCTTTCTCTTGCACTAGCATTCAAGTTCATAAGCTGTTGAATCCACTTCCAGGAAGCTTCTCTTCAGATCAGAGATTTCTTTAGGCTAGTTGAAATTCTTTTTTTACATAAGCCTCAGAGCGTTGCAAGAATCCTTGAAAATGAGATAATTAATGTCAGTACTGTCTGTCCAACACCAAAGACAAGAGCTTCTAAGGGAGCCATATTCTTTCCTGCTACTCTGTAAATTCCAGCTACTGCAGCACCTAAGAATCACAGGAAAAACAAACAACCATCAAATTACACATGTAAACCCAAGGCTGAAATATATGACAAATAATTTACTGTGCTTATGCATCACTTATTTCTAGAATATTACCAAACACTGTATTACTTCATGGTATTATGCAATAATTTAGCCTTGCTTGACTTTTTCTAGTTTTATGAAGAGCCTTCAGGGATGATTCTCCCAATTGAATCAGATTAACTTTCACAACACAAGCTTGATTTGAAAAAAAAGTGAATCTTGCTATTTCTCTTTAGGTGTATTCAAATTTAATCTTTTTTTTTTCCTTCTTATTTGCCTTCTGCTAATTTGAAAAATTAGCAAAAACAACACTGAAGTTTGGTTTAATTGTGCTTGCATAAATAGGGAGAATACAACAATAAGACTTCTGGAGTCTACAAAACAATTGAAAATTTCTATGAACTTCATTTAATATTTCAGTTAAATAAGCAAGTCATACTGTGTCAGTTTAACTTTGATTTAAACTACTAATTTAACAGTTGTCCAGCAAATCAAGCAAAAACATGAAAAAAGATCAAGAAGTCAACCATGAAAGTGTATGGGAAGAAATCTCTACAGATATCATTAGATTTTGAGTTATATCAAATTAAGACATCACTTTGCTTGTAGATGTGTTCAATTCCCATTTGTATAACATTACATGATCAAGATAAGTCAGCAACAAAATACTGCATTGTAAACAAAGCCAGTTGCTCCTAACTCCCTCCCTTCCCCTCCCATTGTCTTTTACATGCTGAATTTATCACATGCATTTAAAGAGCAAAAGTCACACAGCAAAGGAATAGTTGCGTTGACTTGAAACAAGTGCCTGAGAAACATATTCTTTGCTACCAATCAAAATACCTGGCTAATGACGAAGAACATTTTCTTCTCAAATGACGTCTGAATATAGACACCAAAATGTTCATCCAAAAAAAACATCTTGTATACATCTGTCTGTGGATAAAAATTTTACTCAATCCATACCTCAGAAGTTCACTTAGAATAAAGCTTTCTTTAAAAAAAATATTTTTTTCTGAGCTAATATTTGTTGTAGAGTGCTTGTTTCCCTTACCTAAAGGGCACACTGAATTTTCTGCCCTTTGAGGTTTTGGCCTTCAGGAAAAAAAAATCTTAATTGTGAAATAGTTATAGAACTTTTTGTATATAATGAGAATTCTATATATATTCTGAGAAGCCAATTAACTACTATTAAATGACTCTAGAAAATACAAAGATGCTTCTGCAAGCTCTAAGAAAACTGAAAAGCTACCGCAGTTTTTGAAATAAATACCAAGAGTTAAAAAAAAAAACAAAACACAATGGAATTTCCTAATTTTTACTCAGTCATTAATATGAATAGTTTGCTGAAGTGATCAAAAATCCCTTAGTCAGTACCAACAGACTTCCTAGAAGTACAATCCATATCTGAGTATCACCTGATATCTTAAAAAGATTTATTTATCAAACATTATAGGAAAATAATTCACTAATAATTGTTTCTTTAAAAAAAAAAAAAAAAAAAGTGAAGTATATTTTGTCAGAAACCTCACAAGGCTAGCCTTAGATTATTTCACTCAGCCACCCTGCATAAGCTTTTCCATTTGTTCCTCTACTATTGACTTGTCAAAAACTGAAAAGAGATCCTTGAGACTGAGCCCAGTACTGACATTAAAAATATTCAGGTGATTGAACTCTCAAACTGAATTCAAATTGCTAAGGTTTATTAACTAGTAGCATCAAATTATGGTATACCAATAATAGAAGTGTTTTGCTTCGTAAGAAAACATTGAGATATTTTGGAAAACATCACTAATGAAAACATTTAAAATGTTATAGCTTGATAATTATGTGTTTATATTTGTTGAATAACCGTGTGCAATACAACCTGTAATGCATAACCCAACACAATTGGTACAGAGCCAGAGTATACTACAATAAGTTGCCATTGAGGAAATGACAACATCACCAAAAGAGTGTGTATTGAGGGAGGAGGAAGAACAGACCCTTTGGGATAAAATGCAGCTGAAATCCTTACTTCAAACTGCCTAACATATCTCTTTCTGGGGTTATTTTTGACAGTATTCACCACTATTCACTCAGTTTATTGCCTTTGTTTTTTTAAAACTAACCATGTTTTTACAAAGCCTAGGAATTGAGGGGTTCGCTCATGGAAATCCGTTTGGTACTTGAATTTCTTAAGTACTGGATTTCGCCTATCCAAGAAACTAAATCCTTAACTTCCATTCCAGCTTGCAGTATAATAGCTATTGAAAATACTCTTTAATATTGTATTACTATAATTGGCCTTCAGGAGCTCCTCGCAGCATTTCTTTCAGGATGAAACAACCCATTGTCATCCAGAAACAAAAACGTTTTTAGCTAACCCAGTGACAATGTTCTGTGCAAAACCACTGGGAACAACATAATAAAAGTCCACAGTGCAAGGTTGGAGAAATTCTCAGGTGAAACACATTATTTACACATAAACAGTGCTGTTTATTTGTTAAATGTTTTGACATGTAAAACTGGATGTCCCAAAACACAACTGTGTTACTCCTCATGCATAAAGACGAAGAAATTTCATTTCACAAACACTGATCATTCCCCACTGCAGAATACTACTGAAAAAAATCTCGGCTTGGATACCCAGCAACACATTTCCTGTCTTTTATTCTTCAGAAACAGTCAGGCACAGTCGACCTAACAGGGCCACTGCCATTTTACACATAGGACAATTCAACAGGTTCCATATATGCCTTACCTTAGGAGACAAAATAAAGTAGAATTATACTGAACTGCTGTTAAACACTGAAAATTCTAGGCTAGGAAATATACAGCAATTAAAACATTGCTTTGAGTAAAACCTTAAGGAAGTATTTCTTCAGAAGCTTGTATTCTTATTTAATCTTGAAAGCTAGCAGGCAAGAATGACTTTCAGTATGAGAAACTTGAAGAAATAATCTCCTACAAAACACTCATGAGTGAAGCTTAAGTGTTACCGCTACTCTGATAATCTGTACAATTTAAAGACAGAATGAAAGGCAACACTGCTCACCTACAGTTTAAGGCTATATGACAGTCTCTAAATTTTCAGTTCCATACCCTCAAAGACTTTATAACTAACATCATTCCTTCCTACACCAAATAAATTGGAAATTATTACAACCACACAAGACTGAGAAGGTCTTTCAAATCCATAAGCCAAACTGTTTGGTCTGTTCTCTGAGTGGCATGCATAGTTCAGATTGTTATACAGTCACTTAAAAAAAAAAAAAAAAGTAAAGTTTGTTTGCTGCAAGTCAGTACCTACACAGTACCTTTCCTTCCTTTAAGAGAGCAACACCCTATCCAAATGCAATTTAAAAACCTCCAGCAGGCTTAAGGAAATGAGCAAGAAGTCAGTCCTGTAATCAATGGGATCAGAGCTTCATTTCCAAACAAAATGGCTGTCTTGAAGAGTATTGACAGGTGATCTTGATCAAAAACTTTTGGCAAAAGGTCTGCACAAGTATGATAAGACGGGACTACACTTTCTGGTCTCAAAAAGGTATTACCTATCAAGCATACATATTTGAACAGCTTGATAGCTAAAGTTTACAAGATGAAAGACTAGGACAATCATCCGCTGACAATTCTGGAATCATTTCTATCTTTACTACAACAGGAAGAGAAACTCAGCTGTCATTTTCATTAGAATTGCTACATGACTGAAGCAAAATCCTTAATAAACAATCACCAAACCACTAAGAGAAGCTTTATTTGTTTTAATATTGATTTAAATTTAGAGTAAGTAAAAACACAAAAGACAGACTTACTGGTTATCATTGCTCCTGTTACAGAACCCAGAAATCCAATGCTGACCACAGTGACAGAGATTAGTCTCCCCTGCCTATGCCTCTGCAGCATCACAAACATTAACACTCCCACAGCACCATGGACAAAGAGAGAGGAGAAGAGAGCCCAGAGGAAAACCCAGTACCACATCTCTGAAAGAAAGAAGTCAAAAGATTAATATTTTTCAGGCAATACATTTGTAAGAGATTTAGAAACATTGCATATAATCAACAGTAAAAGAAAAGCAATACCCATTTCAGTCTTAAAAAGATTCAATGTGAAAGCACTGGCATGTGCTCAAGACACTATCCCCTTTTAGCAGTTTATCAAAGAAGTAGCTATTATGATCAAAAAATTGTAAAAAGAAATCTAGTACAGTTTTTTGTGATAATACACCTGATTAAATGACCACCATATTTTCTTCAAAGGTTTCTTTAAAAATACAATAATTGTAACTTCTTACTAGGATTTTGCAAATACAGCTGCAGAACAAAAGTTATCTGAAACCAAGTGAACCAGAAAAAAGTCAAGACCTGTCTTTTATAATAAGGGACCACATCAAGCTAACATCAAACACAAAAAATGAGATTAAAGACTTCAGTATATCTACCCAGGAGCTGTAAGTGTTCTATTGAATTAGCTTCAAAATGAAAAAAGAGAAATAAAGAAATACTAAAATGTAGTAATACATCCAGCTGCTTTATTCTAATTGCTTAGCACACACTTTTATAGGTACAGGTAGTCACTATTATTTGAGTCACTGAGCAAGGACAGGAGATTTTGAGAACGTGCAGAGTACAAACATTTCTAAGAATGCCAGACGTGATCATTACTTTCAAATACAAGAGCAGAGAGCATCAATAAAGCTACATAAAAATCAAAGAAACTTCCTTACTTGATGGCTATCTTCTAAAAGCATTTACTATAATTCAAAAGCGTAAGAAAAACTAAGGAAAGAAGTAAAACTCTAAATATATCCACTTTTTTTTTTTAAAGGTCAACTACAGTGATGATCTTGTGTGTCTCTATCATCATAAAATTCCGCAAACTGGTAGATGTTTTCCCAGCTATCACAATCCCAAACTTAGTTTTTCCCACAGTTCACCCTAAAAAAAATATACAGCTTCCATACAACAGTAGGACAATGTTTATCAGGCAAGCCAGTACTACTGTAGCTTGACATTCAAGCAGAAATATGACCCAATTAGCTAACTTAAAAATATACGCAAACATAGCAGATTAAGCAAAGAATACTGTAAAAGGATGCTCAGGAAGAATTGTTGCCACATAGTAACTGCAGTCCTTTGAGTCCAAGTCTGTAGGGCATACATAACCACAGCACAAAAAAAAAAAAAAAAAAAAAAAAAAAAGAGTTCAAACTTTTTCATTTAGCAGTACATGGAGCATAGTGTCAACCCTTCCCCTTTCACACAGGCATAAAAGGCAAATCCATCTCATAGGACTTAGAACTCCTATAAATCAGGAGAATCAAAAGACCCACTTAGGAGGGCAACAAGGAAGATAGGTGGTAAATATACACACAGTTAATACTAACCACTGTAGTTCAAGACACAACCTCTCTGAGTGTTTGGATACACACACACTGGGGGTAGCTCTAAGCAAGTCCATAGAAGTCCACACACTTTATATTTAGGGCAGAAGACAGTAGAACAGAACCATCCTCAAATGTGAGATAAGATGGAGTTCTTCACACACACTTTTCCCCTCCTGCTCCTTAAAGTGACATGCGTGTTGAGTGCATTCAAAAGGCAATTAGAGAACATCCAAATATATTTCTTGTTCTACATAAATGCAGCTGTAGTGTTTAAAGAACGCAGCTACAAACCATGACTTCACAAAGCCTTAGGTTTTCAGCTCAATAGTATCACAGTCAGCAATGCAAGAAATGAAGGTAGCGTTACATGCAACTGCAATAACCCAGTACCTTCTCATAATATATCATTTATACCTCTGTTTTTGACAGACTGACTGTAGATGCTAAAATCTGCAGGTATTTACTTCAGAGCAGTTGGAGCGGAGGTGGGCCGAGGGAAGAACCCCGCATATCTTCATGATGGTAGGAACCAAACATTTGTTTAGATGTGAAAAGGGCTAAGACATAGGCCTGCGATGCTCCTAGATGCAAGTCAGGCAGCCGGATGGGGGACACAGCAAGCAGTTGTGGACTGGTTAACTGTCTTTCATCCTGCAAGTAGGCAAATTACTTACAGAACACCAATTTGGAGTTTGTATTTGTATACCTCCAAGTACACGTTGCAGATTATCCACTCTCCAATTTGTGTGCAAGTTTGTTGAGTAGCTGATTAGGAAGTTACTAGACAGAGTTATGAGCAGAGAGACTAAATCGTTTTTCCCCTTACACACATTCTTGCTAGATAGCAATTCGAGTCACTTTTATCCCAACAGGTTGAAAACAGAACTTAATCCACAGGTTTTTTTTTCCTGTGTAAGAGTTTGAGGTACTCTACAATTCATCATCATCCAACTCCATAATTATGATGAAAGATGGCCCTTGAAAAAATACTTTGCTAGAGCTACACTGAAGGAACCAAAGAATGGGTTGGGGATAACACAGAGACACCATGAGGGACTGGAGAAAGAGAATGCGACCTTCTGAACCCAAAGGGTCAAGGCTTTGCTTGACCAAAAAATAACCCAATAGTTGGAAGATTTTTAATATCTATAAATGAGGCAGAAATGAGACTGCAGTGTTTTAAGAGCATGCTGATACAACAGACACTTATGCCCTATATATGAGATTCATACTCTAAGGGGTATAAACACACCTTATCAATTGCTACTACCTTGACAAACAAAGCATGCTGTCAAAGAAGTTCATTATTTGTGTAACTACACTAATTAACTTGCTCTTCTGATGATATGAGCTACACAATTGGAATACTTTGCTGGTATGATAATAATGATTTCGTTTTAGCTAGCGGAAAGCTCCAAACACAAACCTAGCCTCAGTTATTTAGTCACATCCACATAGAGCTACCTGAAAGAGCCCTGAACAAAATTACAAAATGAAACTACAAAACAAAACCAAAAAACCACGCACTGGAAAAGATCCAGTACTTAGTGGCTTACAAACCACAACATCCAATCCATAGCACAGATCATCCTGGCTTTACGCAGGTGGAATTTTCCTCCCACCCCCCAGAAGAAGGGTACTGCTCTCACCCCCCAGAAGAAGCGTACTGCTCTGTTAATTTAGGTATTTATAGCTATTATATATAAATTATACATATAACACACAAATCACATTATGCTTATCTATTATACATGTACTTTGAAGATATCACTGTAGGCATATACAACCTCAAAGATTAGACTTTTATGATTAGAAAAAAAGTCTTAAAGGATGCTAAAGTTTAAAATGACATCTGTATTGACTTATCAAATTTGAAGTTGCATTCCATTAACAGCTTTATCTTGGGCAAATAAAAAATGTAAAGTCAAAGTATGTAAATGTTAACACTTTTGAACATGATTTATATACCTGAACATGTTGTCCCACTGTCACTCAGCTTCAGTAAACAGGTAGTGAATACATCATTAGTCCTTCATCTTGAAGATCTTTCTTTCCCTCTAGCCCTTAGTTTATCTTGCCAGATGAATAGCGATTGCCTGTAACATTTCATAAGCCAAGACTGATTGCTCCAAAACCAAGCATCTGTCTTGAGATTCTGATCTATGTACCCAGTAACTATCTACCACTTACTGCAGAATTAAGTCTCTGTGCAGAATTCAAGTGTCTGCACCCTGAACACAAAGATACAAATTTCAGCCAACAAGATAGCATATGCTGAAGTTTGAATTAAGAAACTGAATCGTTATATCCTTGCAGATTTATGACCTCAACACACTCAGATTAAGAAATGCCTGTTTATTATACATGCAAACTTAACTTGGCTCTTTATACATTATAGTATTTTCTTCATTACTAGGTCCTTTCTTTAGTTACTGTATGAACTGGTACACTGGAAGTTATCAGGTCTATACAGTCAAATTGTTGTTTGTAGATGCTAACATTTTTGCTGTATTAACTGGAAGAGAAGAACTTGCTGAAGAGCACTGAAATCATTAGAGACTAGACCCCCTGAAGTTGCAAGATAGGGGACAACAACATAGTCCAGAAAATCAGGGGACAAATAATTGCAGAATGAAGCTTAGGGGGAAAAAAAAAATAGAAGGCGGCATCAGTCTTTGAAACACGCAATTAATGAGACAAACAAAATACCTACTTTGCTTACAGGAAGGACAGAAATATTGCAAAGTTCCCTAAACTTGAGGTAGCATATAATATGAATATTTACTACAACTGACACTTGATTAAGGAGGCATTGGGGAGGCAAGGACAATCCCCAGACAAGAACTGTGTATCTCGAAACAAGACACTGGAACTCATGATAAGGAAGCGGCAGACGGACAGAGAAACAAATGTAAGGACTATAAATCTCAAAACTGGACATTGGAATTCATTATAAAGATACAACAAACGGAAGAATTAGCAACAACCAGCTCTTGCAATTAAGAAACATGCCAACTCAGCAGATTCCTGACCAAAGGTGAAAAGTACACTGTGAGGAAGACTCGGGGTCTTCCTCCCAAAGACCCCTGCCCACGTCCCAAAGACCCCTGCCCACAATTCTTGGGAGGCTCTACCCAGGCGCAAGGTGCCAAAAGGCTAATTAGCATGAGAAGCGAGAGAAGGCGGGGATAGGTAATGAATATGTATAGGCGCTTGTAGAATATTGATAGATTGATTGTATAAATTCAAGACTGCTTTCCGCTTTGGGTATGCACGATAGGTGGAGAGATCCCCCGTGCATCCAGCATTGCAATAAAGAATATACCACTTAAAGGAATTTCGGTTTCAATCTTTGAATCACACTCATGCAGGGACATTTTTCAGTTCAGAATCAGTCATTATCCAACTCATTCCAGTAAAGCCTGATCTACCACTTAGCGCATAACTGGTGCATGCCAAGGGGCCACTTGGATTTGTTGGAGGAGCTAAAATAGGGTGAGGTAGAAGCCCCCTCTCCTCTCCCATAGGTCGCAGAGCCTTACCCTCACCATTTACAGTAATATGCCCAAGCGAAGGCAGGAAGCTACGAAGCAAAAGTCAGTGGGCCTGGGTTCAGCTACAGCAAACAGCGCTTGCTATCATGGAGCGTGATGGGCACATGGCAGGAATTCAGTTGTCTGCAGTCTCCTGTGGTACTTTGTACTATATTACCCTACATAAAAGGCTGGATTTCTGTTTGTATTGAACTTGAACCAGACTTACGGTATAAAAAAAAATATTGGTTCAACTTCTCATTAAAACGCCAAAAAACAACAACAAAACCAATCACACATCAATTAAACCACTGAGGTTTCAAACACTTCCTGGTTTAGGCTGGAGCTCGTATTTTATTTCAAAACATTGAACAGAGTTGATACATTTTTTTTTAATAAAGAACATAACTTTGCTGATAAAATTGTATAACTTTTTCAAACATAATCAGCATTGTTAATCTAAAGACAAATGCTTGCTTGAACAACTTAACTCCCAAATCCAAACCACAACTTTAAGTCCAAAAATAAACACAAAGCAGCCTTGAGGAATATTCATGGAACACTACATATTTATTATCTTTTTAGTACTCTGAAAAAGTTTCTCCTTCACTTTCTCCTTTCTTTTCAGCACAGAAAATCAGAACATCTGTTTTTGTACAATAATTACTTCTACAGTCAGTAAATATTTTAGAAAGATTTTATGCAAGTTTAACAACAGTTACTGATTAATATCAGTTACTACACTTAAAAAAAAAAAATCACCTTACATATAATCAGGAACACAAACTTATATAAACAATTAAATCCACTTTAAGCTATTCATTTTTGACATTCCATGAGAGCATGCCACATACCCAATCATAGCTATTAGGACAACTTGTATTTAATACACCAATTCAGAAACTACAGTGCATCTACAACTGACACTAATACACTCTCCTACAGCATTATCACAGATGATTAACTATTTTTTTCATGTTCTTTAAATTAAAAATAACCATTTGACATTAAAAATACCTTTTGCAACTTCTTGTTATATTGCAAAAGCACCAAGAAACATTTTTTCTTACCTAACACTCAGCATTGAATTTCACAGAAACGCCTGCATTGCATCATGTTCTAATAAGAAAAACTTTGGAGGACGTCTAATACAAAGTTACATCCATTGTTAGCTCCTTCCTTTAACGGTACAACTAGTATTTCCACAGAAAGAATGCAAGAATAACTACTCAGGAAGTGAGCTATATTCGTGTGGGGACACACTAATACCTCTAAGATTTAATCACCAGACACAGCGATACAAAGTGTACGCACTTTAAAAAGTTTATTTTAAAAAGTTTAATAAAGTATAACCTATTAAAAGTTACTTTTAACTGGAAGTTAACAAGAAAGATCATAAAGCCTAAGACTCCACCTCTGTGCTACACATATGTATCTTTCACACAGATGGGAGGGAAAAGATGATATCATACTTTTTCAGAAGTATTAGAAACATACACCCTTTACTCAAGATTCTTGCAGGGAATTTACTCAGTAACATCCCTACTGTCAACACAAAGCCCCTTCTAGTCCGGAGGTAGTAACTCACCATTCCCTTTATGCCTGGACAGGACAAGTAGCACACAGACATGCTTCCCTGCTCTATACCTTCTAAGATAGGGTACGAAGGACTGCTCTAGAACTTTTTTTCCTGCCAAAGCTCCCCTCTCCTAGCAGGCTGTAACGACCTGTCTTGAGATCCCCTTCCACAGCTTGTTTTCACCGTTCCAGAGCAGAACCCCTGAAGCTTACAATTAGGTTTACGTGCCAGCCCCGTTAACCTGTCACCCCGTTACCTCCCTCACTGCGCAGGGTGAAAAAAAATAACAAAATAGTAAAAGTCTCTGCTTCTAGTATTCATTTTTCGTTTAAACAGCTTTCCCTCAGATGCCACCCATAAAAAATAAACCCGCTGGCAGCGCCGGAGGAGCCCTCGCGGCCACCCCGCTCCGAGCATCCCCACAAGAAGCACCCCAATCCCAGTCCCAGTCCTAACCGGGACCCAACCGCCTCAACGCCAACCGCCCCAACCTGCCCCCGGTTACCGGTGAGGCTGCGCAGGACGGTGCCATGTGCCCAGAGGCTCAGCACCTGCTGCACCGACAGGTTGATCGCGGACAGATCCCCCGCCTCCACCTTCATGCTGCCGGGTCAGGGGGGCCGCCCAACGGCCGTGCGTGTCCGCGTGTCCCCCGAGCCCCTCACCGGCAGGGCAGGATCCCTCTCACCTCCCCGGCGCCAACAGCCGCCGCCCCGGCTACCGCCATCACCTGCGGGGGGCGGGGCGAGGCGACGAGGCCCCGCCCACGCACGGCCCCGCCCGCTCGGCCGTGACCGTCGGGCCGCGCGCCGCCTGATTGGTCGTCGCCGCGAGGGGCGGGCGTGCGGCAGTGGCCGTTGCAGCGGTTGGGGCCGTTGTCCCGGCGCCGCTGGGGCGCTGGCTCCCCACAGCGTGCCGTGGGGGTGCTCGGCGGCGGCGTGCGGAGATGTCGCCCGGGCACGGGGCAGGGCAAACCCTCAAAAGTTAAAAAAGATGACAAACCTTGAGTCAGTCCTAATCCTGTAACTACGCTTAAGCCCCTAGTTCCTTTCCTTACATAATAAAAGAAATACAACCATTAAGTTGAATGCTGCCTCTTTGGAAGTGCAGGATGTGTGGTGATTACTGATTTAATAGCAATTTTTTCCCCACTCTTAAATATGACGTCCTAAGTTACATTTACTGCACATTTCCCATCTTTAATAAATGGCGCTTGCAACAGTACTTTGTAAGCATCATTTTCTGTCGGCACCCTTTGATGTATGGGGTTGGGGCAGTAAAGTAATTTGCACTTTATGGATAAAGCCATGACAGATAAATCAGTTAATATCCTGCTTGATTTTTTCAGATATGCTATTGTGTGGTGTTTAGTTCAGAGGATTTTTGTTTGCAGCCAACAGTGCTTGGCATTTCTGCAAATAGGTATCAAGCCAGGCAATGAAAACACACAATGAGACTCCTTAGAGGGCTCCGGGTTTGGCTGATTGAGCACAGCATAACTGCAGCAGAGAAAGAACCCAACTGCCAGGACAGATCCATTCCAGGATGGAAGGAATGTCCTCCCTCCCTCTCCCTGCAATCTCACCAGCAGCAACCTACCCCTGTGTGATTCAGGCAGGGTACCCACAGATACCAGCCTACTTCACTGCACACATGGGCACAGTGGGAAAATAGTGTATCTTCTATGCTTAAAGGTAAAACATACAAAGGAGCGTCCAGAAAAAAACTTATGCTGGTTTATTCTTTTTAACTTCTGGACGCTCAACTTTGAGAAAGCAAACACTTCTCAACGAGCTTAAGAAAACCCAATCCTAACTCTGTATTTTAGACCACTGTCTCAACACCAAGTGTGCTCCACTTCATGATGGAGGTACAGAGAGAGGTTGCACAGATCATTCTTTCTCTGGAGACCCAAACATTGGAAACCTGTTGGGCTTAACGGTAGTGCCAGGTGCTGCTTTTCGGCTCATGCAGCACCCTTTGTCCTGTGCTTTCCATAGGTCTTTCTCCAGTTGTTCTCCAGGTAACTCAGCAAATCTCTTTCTGATTTTATTTATGTTAACTCTGTTCAGCTTCCAAAATGTTCTCCCTGGATTCTCTCTGTTGTGTCCTGCTCTTTCATTACCCACTGAGCAGGTGATCTGGATACAAATTTGTAATGCAGTTTTTGTCATCTGAAAATTGGGCTGACTGGATCATTGAGGAAAAGATTGTCAGAACTACTGACACAAGTGCCTTGAATGCAGCAGCAGAAAGCATCAAAATTCCCTCTGTAGGAGCCATAACTTGATACAAGCAGGGACTTGTGGCCAGCATTTTGTCCTCATAAGGCACCTTCACCTGGGAGACATTGCCAAGGAGGACTTGAGAGTATTAGTTTCCTGTGCTGCCGTAGGCGTTATCATAAGCTCTGTAGATGTAAATAAAGCAGGAGGGAAAAAAAAAAAAAAAAAGATAGGAACATGATGTTAGTGTTTAATCAGGTAAGGTAGTTCCTTTAAGTCTTAGAGATTACAAAAGAGAAATAGCCTGTCTGTAAGGGCCTGGTGAGCCCTCCTCTGACATGCTTCATGGTACTGTGGCACCTCATATTGAAGGAAAGGAGTCAGTCAGGGCAGGCCTAGAAGACAACACTGAAAAAGATCAGAGGAGGTCGTTGTGTGAGAGAGGGCCAAGGGAGCTGGCTGATGGGCTTAGCTTAGCTGGGCAGAAGGAAGGCTGCCAAGCTGTGTGTCTAACTTGAACCTGTCAACACCCTGCAGGAGTAATCACCAGCAAAGGGAGATGATTTATAGTGTGGAGTTGGGGCAGGGGCAGAACGGCCCATATAAATGGCCCATTAATACAATTAGGCTAGGAATTAGGAGAAGGTTTATAACTGGAGGAAAGAGTCCTGGCCACAGTTTTCCCTAGGAAAACAACAATGAGGGAGTAGGGAGGGAAACAACTCCCAGGATATACATTGAAATACCTGTTTGTTGAGCTCAGAAGCTGCCTGCTTTCCTGCATCTTGAGAAGAGATGCAACAGCTGCAATTTATTAATGAACACTGGAGATACCTGACTGTGCACTTGGTGAAGCTTGAGAGAGTTGGCCATGTTTTGCATGCAGCACCAACATTGCTGGCTTGTGATCATTAGGTCTTTGAGGCTCAGGTCTGCCTTTACAACTCCTGAAAACCTACACATGGACTAATCTTTATTCCAGAAGACCTCACTTTCCTCCCAGTGTAACTTTAGTTCCCCCTATCCTCCTTCTGCAGCTGGAAGACGTAGACGATTCCTTGAGCTGCATGAATGTGAACCATGGCAAAAAGCTGATTGTAAAACATGGCTTTGGGTGAAGAAGGTTAGTTTTACAGGTGGAAAAGTAGGGTCAATGTAGTTTCTCTGCCCTTTAAAAGATTAGACTACATCTACATACAATGTTTAGATACTTTTTCTGTTATTACTTTCAGAAGCTGAAGAAATAATGATAAATTTGGAAAGCCCTTGGCTGAATCATTTTCCATTTGAAACGGTAATGCTGCTCAAAATGAAACAATTTCATAAGTCGTGTCTCTGTAGGGAAATGAACAACACTGAGCATCCTGTATTGTCATGCTTTGAAACAAATGCTTTTTGCATCATGAAATCAGCTTTCTGTAATAGTAAGAAGTCAAAATCCAAATGATGTATTTTGGTTACATTGAAGAAAAAATTTCCCCTGGAGATCTTCTAGCTAGTTAGCCATGCAGATCCACAGGCACTGCAGTTAAAGATCTGTTTGAGACAACCTGCTTTTACTGGATGGATGACCTCAACACAGTTTGGATATCTGGACTTTTTTTTCCACTTCAAAGGTTTTTTTTTTAGCTTATGATTCAAACTGCTGACAAGACATGACCAAGTGCAGGTAGCAAATGACGTTAACCTCCAACATTAGCAATAGATTTTTGCATGCTTGCCCCCCATAAGCCCACAGCTTCACACACAACAGTTACTGCTCAGACAGAAGAGCTGGCAGCTACAGTTAGTTATGGTTTGAGCACTGGGTGACTCGGAGATACTTGGCCTTGTCACCCCAGCTCTTCAAAGGCCGAAAGGTGAGCTCAGCCCCCACACCCAATGATGGATGAAAGTGCCTCAATGGCGATGGAGGAGAGGAAGGAAGGTGATATCACAGGCTAACCATCGCAACTCTTCCCAGCACAAAAACAGCCTCACAAGTTGATCTAAGCCACCAAAACTCATTCAGTGCTGGCTTGCAGGGCCCCAGAAAGTGTTGGTAGCAAGGGGAGGAGGTGGCGCCCAGGAGCCTTCTCCCTCACGCCAGTAGATGGAGCCCAGTGTCCCCGAAGAGCTCGGCATGGCTGGCTGGCCACCGCGGGGTGAGGCCTCAGCCATAGCGAGGAGCTGCCGTGACCCTGTAATGCCACTCTTTAGGTTTTGTAGAGAAGCTCAGGTGTTATTTTGCCCCACAACCTATGGGTAGCTAAAATATCGGCAGCCAGAATGTCGTTTTTTAATTAAAGCTTTGAAAGACTAAGTCTGCTTAGTAGCATCAGAATATCCTTCTATAAAAGCCACTGGTAGCTTGTACGTATCAGGTCGTAAAGTCTTAAAGATTGGCCACATTGTGAAATACGTATTAAAATCCCAATGACTACTCCAATATGAATTGTGAAGTGTTGTTGTAAATAATCCTCTGCCTACACTTGGGATCTGAAATGTTTTTTTTTTAGCATTTATGTCTGCACTGCTTTAAATAATGAGCAATGTGCTTGTTTTAAACAAGATCACCATTCAGAAAAATGTTGCTTTCTCCTACTGTTACTGGACACACACAAGTATGCACTCATACACGTTAACAGCACAGTTTTATGTCAGTCCTGCTATTAGTATCAACTATGCTGCTTCTTATAAAAGGCTTATACTCTGTGTTTACACATCTAAAGTACTCTTTTCTTGTGATTAAGAACGTTACAAGGGTTCACGCTGAAGGCTAAGTTAACCTTTGTATTTCCCTTTTTCAAGATCATTGAAAAAAAGGCAATTACAAATAAAAATTGTCTTCAGAAAACATTTGGAATAGGCTAGAGGAAACAACCATCTTTCAAAACATGAATGAAATTAATTCCACCCTTCCCTCAGGATTTAAGAATAAATACATGAGGAACAACCCTTGCTCCTTTGTTCTCTTCTGTGCCATGTTCAAAAATGTGTGTCTAAAATGCAAAAACCTTAAATCCTGCAAGATGTGTTTCTTCTGGAATAGTTCCCTCTTGTCCCACATCTCCACCCCCTTTAAAAAAAAAATATATATATATACCAAACTCAAGAGATCCATGTCAACAAATGGTAGTCACATTGAGTTTCTTATATGCTTAGGTCATTAGCTAGCAGGACATTGTCAAGCAATTAGTTTTGAAATATCGTCTTTTTAAATTCTTTGTTTTGAAGTTGATGGAAGTTTGGCAGAAAAATCTGTTCCTTCATTAAACTAGTTTTTAATTTAACCCTCACGTAAGTATGTTACTCTCCAGAAAGAGTAGAGCATTTTCTGCATAGTTTGTTTATACAATCCTAAGTACTGAGGCAACAGATTCGTAAAACATATTTATAATTCTTTTCTGATTCAGAATTCAAGAAAACTCAGCTTCAAATATATACATTTTGTTGAAATATCTGGAACATGAAACTGCACAATTTGCAAACCTTAGAAAAAATGCAATATTTGTGTGTGTATACACACACACACACTTATGATCTGTAGCACCCTTTCACTGAACTCTGTCT